CCATGGAAATAGCGATAGAGTAGCGAGAGGCTCGCGGGGTTTCGCCTGTGAGAAAGGAGCTGTAGGCTGGAAAATAATCAATCACCCACAAGACTGCGGAGTCGCGTTTTTACTCTATCAAGGCCGGCAAGTGAGGACTGAATAGCTCCCGCACAGATATGGCAGTAATACTCCATTTTTGTTTGTTCTGAATTTTTAATTTTTTTAAATCATTTCACATCAAGCAAGATAATTAAGCCACTAAGACGCAAGGGGGTTACTGAGTGTGAAAGAATATGAGAAAAAGAAAATATCATGATGAAGAGAGAGCAATAAATGAACAAGAACTAAGAAGACAGAAGATAAGATTTAAATTTTCGAAGATCAAACTTCATTGAATAGCAATAAACAGGAATAGAGTTACACAAGCATGAAGTTCGAAATAAGAAACTGCTGGCATAGAATTTATGGTTACATCTAGACATTTGAACAGGAAAATGATGAGACCTATCCGCTAATCCAGTACTGCGCTTACATTCATAGTCTCGGTACCAATGAGGAAAGCTCATCAGAACAATTACTATGACTAACAACTACCCGTTAGAAAGGACTTTATAATTGACTAAACACTTCCAGTGATTCCATGGCTAAGGAACTTTTGCTGTGACCCTTCAGGCCACATTTTGTAAAAGGCCTTTGAAATATCTAATGCGATCGTCCTTGAGATGTATTCTTTGAGTAATAACAGTTAGGATATCAGCAGTGGACCGAGTCTATCGAAACCTGTACTGTTTGTCGTTCAGGATGTTGTTCCTATTGATGTGATCAACAACCTTCTTGTTGATTATATCTTGAAAATTTTTGCTGCTATCTTTTTGAAGATTCCAGATAAAAGACAAAGAAAAATCTGCAAAGTTATTGATAGTGTCCTGGAACCTGGGCTTCAGTCACTTTTCCATTGCCGTATCGTAGCTTCGCTTTATATTTTCTGTCCTCCAACGCCCAAGTGATCAACCATATTTCTACTTTGCACTAATGATCTCTCCAAGAGTATACTCCGATCTTTTGTGAATGTTTATGCTGATGATACAGTGTTCTATGGGTGCACCGCCAAATCTCTAGATGACCAGAGCATAGCAGCTGATCTCTCCTCTGGCCAAGCTCTAACAGATCAGTGCGACGTGGGGAGAATTCGTTGGTCACATCCAATGCCTCGAAAACCAAACTAGTGACATTAAATCATCACCGAGTAGACCCGGAACTTTCACAGATCACGACGAACTGGTGTTCTCCCAGGAAGACCATCAGGGAGACTTAAAATCAACCCCGATCCATCGCTGAAGATGTTGCAAAAATGGTCGGTTCGATGTATCGCTCCAGTAAGTACCTTCTTGCTACCTTCTACCTTTACAAGACACGGATCAGGCTGAGAATGGAGTTCTACTGCCATATATGGGCTGAAAGAGCCCAGCTCTTCTGGTCTTGTCCAAAAGTGTCTCTGCGTCCTTGTGGGTGACAAATTATTTTCCACCCTACAACCCCTTTCCTCAAAGACGAAACGTCACAAGTACTCTCACTGCTCTATAATTCTTTCCATGGAAAGTGCTCAGACGAACTACATTTCTTAGTTACACCAGTTCTAACCTAAGATCCGCCATGACACACACATTGTAGCGAACCACCCTCCTCCCCTTCGTATTTCATTGGTGAGATTATGTTTCACTATTGCAGCTTCTTCCTACGAAACGCTGCTTTGTGGAACCGACTCCCAAAAGGATGCTTCCCCGATCACTACAATCTTAACTTGTTCAAGTCTAGGGTCAAATATCCCTATGAACTGTGCCTCTTACTTTGTAACCCTCTACCAGGAATTGTACAGGGCGAATATCATTGTAAAATACAAAAGAAGCACTAGACCAGATGTGACAGTAATTCAAAGCATGGATGCGTTGATGGATATACTGTGAAACTACCAGATCTAATCACTAAAGTAACTTTTTAATGAGTGAATTTTTCAATAAAGTCTATGATTGTTTTAAGTATTTATTATTAAAATAAGGGTATTATTAAAATATAGAACCCTACAGTGGGTTATGATAAGTTTTTAGCCACCCTTGATTACAGCAATTTTGCCTTGTTTAATAACATCTCTTCTTTTTTTCAGACAATACCGTGTAAGTATCAACCTACTCTCATCTATGATTGAAGTTGACATATTTTGCAATGAAAGATCGTGGAAGCATTGAAATTAGTGAATTTCAACAAGGACAAATAATAGGATGGCATCAGTGTGGCAAGTCAAATAGAGAAATTTCTAGGTTTTCTGGCTTAATCATCAAACGGTTAATAGTATTGTCAAGAAATTTGATGAAGAAGGCCATTGTCGTGTGGAACAAAGTTCAGGAAGACCAAACATCGTGTCTGAACGAATGAAAAGGGTACTGAATAGGGAAGTCATCAGAAACCGTCGTCAGAGCGTCAAAGATGTCGCCGACAGCGTGGAAATGTCGCCATATGCGGTGAGAACGACTCTGAAAGATCTAGGCTATCAAAGAAGAGTTGCAAGAAAGAAGGCCTTGATTTCTGAGGTTAACAGGAACCTTCGTATGGACTGGGCGAGAGAATTAGAGAGCAAAGAGAATGAATTTTGGCAGTCTGTAATTTGGTCAGATGAAAATAAATTCTGACAATATAGTAATTCGAGATTGGTGCATGGTTGGAGAAATCAGAATGAGACTTGGAACACTGAATGTCTGCAGACGGCCGTGAAACATGAAGGGATTGGAATAATGATGTGGGGCGCTCTCTGATTTGGAGGGAAATCTGAGCTGATTCTTATTGACGAGCGGTTAAATAGTTCAAAATACTGTCAACTATTAGAGAAAGGACTACTCCTACTATTTGAAACCAATCAGAATGACTAGAATGTTTCCCTTATTCAAGAAGATGGAGCGCTATGTCATACGAGCAAAGTAGCAGAGACCTGGGAGCAATCGCAAGGAATCAAATCCCTGCCATGGGTAGCCCAAAATCCTGACATGAATCCAATAGAGCACGTTTGGGAGCACCTTGCCCGAAAACTTCGAGAGGGTGCAACCAAAATCACGTCAGTGGCAACCCTTAAAGAAACATTGCTAAAGGAGTGACAAAATATGGCTCAGACGATTGTTGATAACTTGACCAAATCCATAATAAATCGAATATGAGCACTGAAACAAGCAAATGGAGGACCTACGCCATATTACTTCCAAATACTGTTTGTTTATGTTGAATAGGGATTACGCAAATAAATTTTGAAATTGGATGTAGTTTATTTCTACTAGTTAAAAACTTTTCTTAGGCCACTGTAAGTCAATTGGTTGAAGTCGCAAATATTAGCCTCACAATATTTTCTATACTCATTTATATATTTATATTATATATTTATATCTATATAGTTATATATATATATATACTATATATTTATATTTATATAATTTATATATTTATATTTATATTATATATTTATATATGTATATATATTTATATTTTATATTTATATTTATATATATATTTATATTATATATTTATATTTATATATATTTATATTATATATTTATATCTATATATTTATATATATTTATATTATATATTTATAACTATATATTTACATATATTTATATTATATATTTATATCTATATATTTATATAGTAGAGTCATACCTTTCAAATGCATCAAGGATGGTCTTCAGTGATGCACTGTCTTCATTGCCGATTTCGGGTTTGGCATCTTATTGGCTCAAACAGCAACTCCGACCTGATTCCAAAAGGTTCAGATCGCCTCCTTGATAGAGTCTTGCTACGCACCTCGATATTGCAAAAAAAATTCAGATAAGGCTAGGATTCCGATATATATATATATATATATATAGCCTTAAAGTTCCTGCGTCATTTGTCAAATTTCAAAATTTTCTTGGACGCTTACGGCGCTCGAACCTGCAGCTGTATGAATCTATTCAAAGGCTACATTCTTGTCTTGGAGTTGGATCCGCGAATCTATTGTTGCTGGTTGCAAAGCGGCCTCCATGTCTGTTCAAGCTTCAGAACTGCAAAACTTTAAGTCCGCCACTGAGATAGACGAATGGTGCACTTATATGTGTTAGATAGGTTATTGCTTCGAAGGATAGGAAGTTGTGGAAAGCCATGTTCGCCTACGCCCTGAAAAGATATGACCCATAAACGAAGAAGAAATACATCCTCGAAGGAAATACTCGAGAACAGAAACCTTTCAACAGTCCCAAATAAACACATTTCTAAAGAGTCTTATTTACTTATAACCAGCCAATCATCTTAAATGTCCATAATTCCCCGAGTAAATTTCAAGAAATGGGATTTGGTTGAACAGAAAATAAAAATGTATTTTTATCTCAACAGAATATACTTCGGTTTCATTCTTTTATCAGATGATAAAAAATGAAATTTTTTTCCAATAAAAAGCCATGCCCAATATTTTTTTCTTCTTTTGTAATTTTCCGATAGATATGAAATCTAATATAATTTTGTTAAAGAAATATCATTTCTAGAGGTAATTTCTCTTCAGAGATAAGGAAGAACGAATCGAGCTATATTAGGATAGATGAATATGAATAAACCGAGATATCAAGCTCTGAAAGTATTTGCAAAGAAAGTGAGAGGTTGGTAAAGAGGTAAGTAGGCAGCAAAATTGATAAACTAAGAAAGATCGATAGAATATCATTGTCATAAATGGGGGAGTAGGCTGAGAAGGAATTGGCAAAAGCAGACAGAATGACTAATACAAACGGAGTGATGATAGAAAATATAGACAGATATATATATATATATATATATATATATATATATATAGAGAGAGAGAGAGAGAGACAGAGACAGACAGACAGATACAGACAGACTGAGATAGATAGATAGATAGATAGATAGATAGATAGATAGATAGATAGATAATGAACATATTTAGATAGATAGATAGATAGATAGATAGATAGATAGATAATGATCAGATTTTAATAGATAATGAACAGATTTAGATAGATAGATAGATAGATAGATAATGACCAGATCTTAATAGATAGACAATGAACAAATTTAGATAGATAGATAGATAGATAGATAGATAATGACCAGATCTTAATAGATAGACAATGAACAAATTTAGATAGATAGATAGATAGATAGATAGATAGATAGTGAGCAGATCTTAATAGATAGACAATGAACAGATTTAAATAGATAGATAGATAGATAGATAGATAGATAGATAGATAGATAGATAGTGAGCAGATCTTAATAGATAGACAATGAACAAATTTAGATAGATAGATAGATAGATAGATAGATAGATAGATAGATAGCGATTCATACGAAGAAATTAGATGAGGAACTGTGGAATAAAGTCCGTTTTTAATTGGGTTGTTCTTTTTGTCTAATTTCCTGCCTGCTTACTTCTCCAAATAAAAACACCTCCAAATGCAACCTGACGTGTGCGTATACACTTCCATTCGTCAATAATAAAGAAAGCAAAACTGTGAAGATATACTTTTCTCGGTTTCCTTTGTTTGTTTGTTTTCTCATACCAAAGAAAAAACGCCTATTTTGTGACGTTTAGATTATTAACTTATTTAATTTTTCGTCCTGTTCTCTAATTCCGTTCATGTTTGGATATATAAATGGCTAAGAAGAGACAAGTTATCGATCATGGCAAGACGTTCTTACCCATTGACCCGGTCTTCCAAGAATTAGATTCACGAGCGTCATCAGGCAATTGTAAATAAAATCTGCTTGATCGTCTGACAATATTTTGGGTGCTTATCAATCACCTTTGCTTCTCGATTCAGTGAGTTGAATTTGATAGATAGATAGATAGATAGATAGATAGATAGATAGATAGATAGATAGATAGATAGATTTTCCCTGTGAAGTTTTGAAAGGGTTCCATCGTAGTTGCAGGCACTTAAGTAGCTAGCTAGCTAGATAGATATATAGATAGACAGATAGATAGATAGATAGATAGATAGATAGATAGATAGATATGGACAGAATGAAACAGATAGATAGATAGATAGATAGATAGATAGATAGATAGATAGATAGAATGTGCGATGGATAAATTTTCGTCTAAATTACGGAAAAATGACATTAGAAACTGATATAACATTTTAACATATATATATATATATATATATATATATATATATATATATATATATATATTTACCAAAATTAAACAAAAATATCTTGAAGTACTAAAGAGTAAATTTATTCAATAAAATCGCCACTGGCTTCAACTACGTTCTACAGATGACTTTGGAATCTCCTGTAACTCTTCTGGGGATGTCTCCTTGTTTAAGCTGGTGAATGCTGCCATAATCCTTGCTTTCAATTCATCTTTGGTGTTGCAAGGAATTTTGTTGACCTCTCTCTCAACTGCGCCTCACACATAATAATCAAGGGGCTTCAGTCTGGGGAGTTGGATGTCCAGATTCAAGAGCTGATGTAGGCGCGGAAACAGTCTGACAGCTATGACTGAGTTCTCTTGCTTGTGTGGCACGGTGTAGAGTCCTGTTGCCCGAAATAGGGTCTTCCAAGAGCTACCTTCTTGATCTTTCTTAAGGGACCTTATGTAGGCCTCCGTGTTGAGTCCGAGACCATGTGGGAAGATGAATGGAAGCATACTCCAAACACCTTCTTAATCACCATTAGACTCTTTCCAAATCCTCTGCATTGTCATCAGATTGACACCCAAACACTATGAAATGTTCGTATTGCAGCTTCATATATAAAGGTTGTTTCATTAAGACGGATTATATATAAGGGTGTTTCATTAAGACGGATCAAAGTCAGCAGTAAATAAATCAGTGTTATTGGTAAAAATTTATTTATTTCTCTATGCTATTTAAGTTATGGCAATTATGTGTGAAAATAATATGGCCCAAATGTCCGCCAAATCTGAAAAAAAATCATTAGACGCTTAAACTTAATTCACATTAAAATCGGTCAAAGTTATTGGAACACCATTTATATATATATATATATATATATATATATATATATATATATATATATATAGTATATATATAGAGTGGATAAACGAAACAGCCAAATATAAGCAGTCGTGTACGCGTGTGCTGGTGTGCATACGCAGGCAAGCAATTAAAATATTCGTTAAATTTATGCATGAGGTGTAAACGTAATAAGGCTCAATGCGGTTATACAGAGCAAATATATGTATTAATTAGTACATAAACGCGTACCTACGTTAAAATTATAATAAATAATTATTACTATACTATCGGTATCGACCCCTCTTTTGGATTAATACTGTCAACGTTAGGATTTATATATTACTTTCGTTCTCATTGCATCTGATATATATATATATATATATATATATATATATATATATATATATATATATATATGACAAGTGCTCATTTCCAAATGTAGATAGAAATGAAATTCCAACTACGCTGCCTACAGCCAGATCTAACGATTACACAACTCATAGCTAGCTAAATATAATGGTTATGATAATGTTGAGTTGAACCGTTTCCACATTCGCCATACCTTAATTGAACAATCAGAGGTACTATCGGTTGACATTTCTAAAATATTTCTCTTCAAACCATTTTGTAATAATTTAGACTTCTCAAGTACAATATTATCGCTCTTTTTATGGGCCGTTTCTCTTTCGGACATTGGCGATCATGGCTCTCCACAATTTCCTATCCTTTGTAGGTCTTAACATTTTTGCTATCTCTACTAAACCTTGCTCAGTCATTCATTTACTCAAACTTGTTATGTAGGTTTTGCGATGTTTTCCGTTGTCCATCTTGCCTTCAATCTACCCTATGAGTATCAGATTTTCCAAGTCTTCTTTCCGTATTATGCACCCTTGAAATTTCGACCGTCTCTTACAGATGCTAAGTATACGTGTGTTTTTCGTTTTCATTTTTCTCTAAAACTTTATATCCTTCTGTAGAACCACATTTCTTTTGCTTCAAGTCTCTTCTTTTGTGAGAAGATTGCCCAGCATTCAGTTCAATATAGGAAGACTGATATTACCTAACAGTTCAGTAATCTTTTCTTTGTTTCTAACGAAGTTTTCCTGTTTCTTAGTACTCTACTTAGCATTTGGAAGGCATCTTTCGCTATTCCAATACGCCTTTGGACCTAAGTGTTGCACTTTCCGTCCTATGTTTAAACACTTCCCAGATATTTAAAGTTTTGTATTTGTTCGATTTTTGGTATCTACCGATTTGTAATTTGCATCACTTGAGGACTATCAACAGCAGCAACAACTAGAAATGATAGCACATGTAACTTGAAGAGGAAATAATGACATAATCAATATGTTGATGTTCCATACTACTTCAGACAAAAGGTTAGGAAGGAAACCTCAGTCAATGCTGGAAGGACCGATAACAATTATTGGACTTGAGAAACCTGTTTTCTTGAAAAATTGTTTTAATCGAAAGATTTTATAAAATTCAACAGATAGTAGCACTGTGTTCAGTCAATGAATGCTGAATGTTTCCTTATAAGGAAACGGCTGATATTACCATTACCATTTTCCACGATTTAGAATTCAATGTTCTTTCTATCGAAGTCCGGCAAGATGATCCTTCGCTGCTATTTAGCCCAAAGCTAGAGGATGGACAGATGAATTACGTCTTCTCCAACAGAATTAGGCTGAATTGAGCATAAAGGAACTCAGCTGTATTCCTTTTTTATGTGTTATCAACCTTCATATATTTCAATCGACAGTGGCATAGCTGCTCGGTCAATACACTCCGAATGTTTCCTTATAAGGTAACTGCTTATATTGTCACTGCCATTAGTGATGAGGATAATGCTAAGTGTACGACGAATGAATGCCGAATGTTTCCTTGTAAGGAGATGGCTATTCTCATCATTATCATTATCATATTCAGGCGAAACGTGAGATCGTTATCAGAGACATATAAATCTGGAACTTTTGCATCAACGCTGTTTCCGAAGAATACTATATATCCATCAGCCTTGTCACCTTCCAGACAATGCTTTTCTTCAACGTACTCACAGTATGTGGAGATGGTTATCTGCAAGCATCGACAACGGTGGGGAAGGTATCTGGTAAGAAAGTATACTAATAAATTAATAAATTAAAATGAATGATCAATTAAAATAAACAAAATATTAAGAAGGCCTTCCGGATATGAGGAATTGGTTACAAAGTCCGGATGTGAGGGGTTATATTTAGATTAAAATAAAAGAACTGAAATCAGGTTTAACATTTATTTTCAATAATAGTAAGCAAAGTAAGCTAATGATGAGTGAAATATAACGGAATTGATTTTAAGGAAAAAGAAATAAATTATGTAATATTAATGAAAATTCATTAAATTAAGTCTGCCACGTATGCAAAACAAATAATGTAACGAGGATTTTTTACTTGCTGTTGCATGATGATTCTTTCTCTTCTAATGTCATTCTCAACTTTTTCTGCATTTCGTTTTGCTTTTGTTCTTGAATTTTTTAAAACCTCAAAGCGGAATGCTGGTTTTCTTTCCATAAAACTGATAAGCTTTTCAATAGCTTTTTCCATATCAATCACAATCATGCATCTCGTCGTTATCTTGTTGCAGACGTGTCTCATTGTCACCCTTTCCTCTTATTCCAATTATCTTTTGCACCAATACAAGCCATTAGGGTGAAATAAACATAAGAAATTATCCAAAGTAAATTTCCTGAAAAGAAGAAATTTCAAATCAGTTACATATCACTCAAATAGCTCAAATATACACATCAAAATCATATCCGAATATGTGGAATTCCGGATATGAGGCACACCGAATATGAGGGATTTCGGATATGAGGGATTCTACTATATATATATATATATATATATATATATATAGATATATAGATATATATATATATATGTGCAAATATATAGAAAATAGGAAAGGACCCGCTAGGTAAATAATCCGAAGTTCTTTTGTTTTTATTTCTAAAAAACAGTGTTCAATACAAAAGTAGAGACTAAATTATAATCAGTTTTTAAAAATATGATTCCCTGGCTACATAAGAGTTCTCATGTTTTAAAAACAACTGCTGAAAACTTCAATATAATTATTGATTCCAAAAATTTCGCTTAAAGATGAAACAAAGCTTGATACTTTCTTGTTTTTGAAACATGAGAACTCTTATGTAGCGAATAAATAATATATAATAATATAATAATATATATAGCTGTTTTTCTCTCTACTCTTTCCCTCTTTTTCATTATTTCTCTTCTCTATTTCTATCTACACCATTGTACAAATTAATTGAAAAACGAATAATTCCGTTATTATTTACATTTGTAGTATTTTTCCAATGAAACATGACCCAGTGCACATGTTAGTACTTCGTATATCTATTCCACGATGTCGTTCCTTGCAGAATTGACCACAGGTTCTCAACTGGATTTAAATCGGGAGAGTTTCCGGGAGAGTCTATAGTACTTTGATTTGTTCACTGGTAAGGCTTGTCATTATGTTTGTGCAATGTTACAATTTTCGCCCGCTTCCTTGGAGTAACGTCCATCGCAGACAATGACTAGGACAACAATCGAGACAATGGTGTCTGGGCGTGATAAAAATCTGATGCAATCACGTATGACGTAATATTTTTCAAGACCAAACAAATTTCATCATACATCCCGAAAATAGATTCATATTACTGCACACCATTGGAAATGACTTAATCTGAGGAAAGAATAGAAATTGATTATACCTTGTCACTCCAGTGGGTCTAAAACTGACCGTATGGTGAAAGAAAGGAAAATAAAATGGTTGTGTCAATTAATTTGCACAAGGTTGTATCTCATATCTTTGCATGTGTATGTGCACGGGCATGTGTACATATGTGTTCTTCCTTCAATAAAGGTTTTATAGATGATGTAACGCTCATTTCAGAGTCGAAATTTGATCTAAAGCTTCTCGGAATCCGTTTCTAAGAGCTTTTTACTTAAGCAATGATAAGAATTAACTAGAACTACCCTTCTAAATGCGGTAGTCTGTCCTTAATAAATGAAGCGGACAGGGAAATCAAGTTCTCCATCGGTGGAAACGAAATTCGTACAATCGGTGAAAGAAGCGTTAAGAATTATCGGTCCCTGCCTCTATAGTGTCTTGCTGATCGCCATCGCACGAAAGGTGTAATGAAAGAATGAAAAAAAGATGGCCTCTGGCTCCTATTGATAAATGTGCCCTTGTTGCGAGAGATAAATTATTGTGCGTGCATTTTGGTTTAATCCACAGAACATAATGGCCATCCCGAGTATATAAGATATCGGAGGAATTCAAGCAATGGAACGTTTAATCAGTAAATAACTGAAAAATTGGTTGGGTGCATTTCTTTAAGAAATATGCGTGAATAGCATTCAGATCGACATTAAAACATAAACAAACAACAGCGTCACTTTTTGAGGGCAATACACGATGCTACCAAATGCTGCCTCATCCCCAGGAGATGTACACAACTGCTTTCCAATAGGTTTTAGCGAGTGAAGCCTTATGTTTAAAATACGTTTCAGGTTTTGGCACAGATCTTTCTTTGAACGTTGTGCACTGATGCTACGGAATCACAAACAAACCGATTTCTAACATCAATGTTTAAAATCTACAGAATCACAAAACAGCTTTCTAATATCAATGTTTAAAATATGTTTGAGACTATCCTTCTTTGAACATTGTGGTCTGGCACTACAGAATCACAAAGATCGGCACCTAATAACAAAAACCATATCACATGAAGACATTCAACAGCAGAAACAACTAAAATAGATAGCATATATCTACTATTTACATTGTTCAGACTATCGTCCTCATCTTTGTTGTCATATTTATCACAACGTTTTGGCATAGATATGAATACAATAAAGGAACCAGTAATAAGGAGTGCCAGAGAAATGCAATAATAACAACGAAAAATACAATATGAGCTCTGGTAACAAACATGAAATGATAACAGCAAAAATTGCAATATGGGAACTGGTAAAAATGTTTGCTGAAGACATTAGGTTTATAAGACCCAAAATTCATACACAGATGTCCTCAAGGACACGTGGCACAGTGGGTAAAGTTAAATCCAGTGACAGGACCCAAAGAGTCCGATTTCAATACCTGGTTAAGGCGGTGGATCACTTGGAGAAGGGAATTCATAGGAGATAACCGATAACTCACATCCATTAGACATGGCACGTGGAACTAGAACAGTCTACCCCCAGCGAGCGAAATAAAGGGTTGTTCGACATTCCAACCACCTGACGAAGGCCGTAGCGTACAACGACCGAAACGTTGTGATAAATACGGCAACCAAGATGAGGACGATAGTCGGAACAATGTAAATAGTGTACATAATACCTCATCTTAGAAATATAGACAAGAACATATATCTTGTAGATGAAGTTGGCATTCCACAATGAAACTAGGGAAGGAAACTCTCGTCAGTACTGGAAAGAGCTATAACAGCCCTTAATAAGAATGTGCAACCATATTTGTGCTGAAATAGTCCGATCCTCACTTCACTACCTTGACAGAGTCCGGGTTCTTTTTCAACCCCTAATTTTCACGTTACTCCATTGCCTTCTCAACCTCTGAAGAAATAATTGCTTCTGTATTTGTGTGTGCGGACGTGTTAGAGTCTAACCGAATGACCACGTCACAGGAGGACATGACTTCGCTTCCAATGTAGGCGTTTATTTTCCAGGCATTTTTTTTATTCAGACTTGGCTTGGCTAATCATATTAACCTAATTCCGTATAAAATGCCATTTACTTAATTACTTCAACCAGCGAGGCATCTTCACGGGGTTTAAAAAGAACGACTTGACGGTAGATTAAAAAGGATTTTTTCGATTTTTTTTTCTCCATCGTTTGAGCTTAGAATAATGTTAAGCGCATTTGTTTGCTTATGGAAAAGAAAAAGGCGATGGTCACAGTCAATAAGAGTATTACTGCAAACATACAAATGCGTTTTACATATAGAAAAGAAAAGGAATTTTTTTGCATATAAAGGCTGCGATGGGTAAATTGTCGTCAATTTATATTTTAAATTTCGCACATCCGTATTGTTTGTTTTTGATTTTATCGACTGTACAGTAGGGTCAGTTGGGCACCGTTTATGAGAAAAAGAGCACTATGACGCAGTTCACTCCGCCAGAAATTTGGAAACGGCATGCTGTCCTATTTGGCATTTGCGCTGGAAGCTCCAATACGAACATTTTAGCTTGTTTGGCTGTCAATATGAGAACAGTGCAGTGGATTCGAAAAGAGTTGTATGAGTCTAATGGTGATTACGATGTTACGGCAACTCGGAAAACTCACTCTGATCGTTCTGATAAATAAAGAAATTACGAGTTTGTTTGTGAAGGCCAGACTCATCATTGAAGCCTACATCAAGTGCCTGGAGGAGTTAATTTTGCCCTGGGTCAAGATGTTGATGGCTTGAAGGCCCTATGTCTGACAACAGGACTCTGCACCATGCCATACAAACAGGAGAACCTAATTATGACTGCCAGGCGGTTTCTACGACTACATCAACCCTTAAATCTGGCCAAATAACTCCCCAGACTCCAAACCCCTTGATTATTATGTGTGGGGGCACAGTTGAGCGAGAGATCAGGAAAACTCCTTGTAACACCAACAATGAACTGAAAGCAAGAATTATGGCACCATTCACCAACTTAAACAAGGAGATCGTTCAGAAGATATACAGGAGATTCCGAAGTCATTTGAAGCCATGATTGAAGTCAATGACGATTTTATTGAATAAATTTACTATTTAGTATTTCAAGATATTTTTGTTTATTTTTGGTAAATATATCTGTTAAAATGAGATATCGTTTTTTTTATTTTCATTTTTGCGTAATTTAGACAATTTATCCATCGCTACCTGTATATATAAATAAAAAAGTTCAATGATTTATCTTCATAAATCTATTAATCAAGGATTCATTGACATATCACATCGATCACTGATTGAAGTATTTCGTTAGGTGTAAATGATTTTCGTTATATTTTAAATATTAATTACCGATACATCTTGGCGTAATGGTTGTTTTGTTAAGGTATATTGGCATACTAGATTCAAAAACAATCTTTCTTAATTAAGTTAGTTAAAACCAAATGTTCTTCTACAACCTAACAACAAAAACAGAATAGACTTTTTAGCCAAACTCATAAAAGACATGTGCCAATATTCATGGCAGCCATTACAATACAATCAAGTTTGATCTTACAGAATGTAGTCAAACCAATTAAAATCAGGTAAACATTATAATATTTAAAATAAAATCCAGTATTAATTATAGTTTTTTAAAAAGCATCTGGTATTAATTATTTATAATAAAATTCTGTCTTATAGGTTTATATAGGTGCATATATGTATATCCTGTAGATTCACCTATGTTTTTCAGATCAGAACCTCAGCACGCTCCGTGTGGTCATTGTGAGTTTCCGTAACATACCATTTCTATAAATACTTTCATGGTAATTGTTCATAATTGAGAAGTTATGAATTTAATCGTAGTACTAGACATGTGAGTACGTCCTAAAGAGGCACGGCTCATACAAGAAGAAGAAAAAGAAGAGTCCATAAAAACTCGATAATAATAAGAAGAAATATAATGGATGTATATTGGAAAAAAGAAGAGAAGAAGAAAAAGAAGAACGAAAGTGTATAAAAACACGATAAAAAAGACGAAGAAGAATTAAAGTTCATCAGAAAAAAAGACCAGATATTAAAGAAGAAGGGGAAGAAAAATAAGGGATATGTATTCAAAAAAAGAAGGAAAAGACGGAGAAGTATCAGAATAAGAGTCCATAAAACAACGGTAAATAGAAGAATAAATATACGGGATATGTATTCGAAAAAAAACGAAGAGAAGAAGAAAAAGAAAAACGAAAGTGCATAAAAACAAGATAAAAAGAAGTTCATCACGGCTCAAAGAAGAAGAAGGAGGAGGAGGAGGAAGGAGGAGGAAGGAGGAGGAGGAAGAAGGAGGAGGAGGAGGAAGAAGGAGGAGGGGAAGAAGAAGAAGAAGAAGAAGAAGAAGAAGAAGAAGAAGAAGAAGAAGAAGAAGAAATAAAAGATATAAACAATGTAAGATACACTACAAAGATGGTAAAATTTGGTGGTTTAGTAATTAGCAACTTTAATAATTAAATGCGTAAGATTTCTTACGGGCATATTTTGTATTATATGAAATAATGGTAGTGAAGAGAGTATATACACAAAATAACTGACACAATTGATTTGCAATGCAAGATAATATTTATAAGTCAAGTTAAAAAAAAGAAAAGTTTAAAACAAGAGTTTCGCTTGTTAGACGTAAATTATATACGCAACGAAATGTTCATTAATATGTTATAGTGGGAACTTACTATGTGTAGCGTTTACAGTCCTTTTAGCCTCAGCCTGAAAAGTTCATGTCAGCAGTTTGAAAGATGAAAAACCCGGAAAGAAAGAACAAATTACTTTAGGGTTCACGTGTTTTGATATTCAAGAGCTGCTGCTGATATGAATTTTATTTTAGCACTGCTGCTGCTATTACCTTTAATCTACTGCTCATAAGACTTTTATTTTAGAGCTGCTACTGATAGTATCTTTAATATCACTAAAGTGGTGAACAGGCAATGATATGGAGTTGTATCAATAGGTAAAAGTTGGTGGAAATCTCAACAGTGAAAAATATATGCGTTTACTACGGTTTAATTCTTTTCCAGGCGACGGAAAAATTGTTCAACATGACGATATTCCTGGCCACACATCACGGGCGACAAAATTGTTTCTTGTGGATGAAGATATTCAACTTTTGGAAGGGTGGCCAGTACAATGTGATGGGAAGTGAAAAAACAAGTGCTCCAACGAAGACTATGCAATCTCTAAGAGCTTTGAGATTACTGCCAAAAAGAATATTTCTCTCCCGTATCTATCAGGTCATCCCATAAGTTCTGTCCGAATTTTAACTTTTTGTTAAAACGAACGAAATTTAAAGAGTATTTTATAATGTCTAATGGAGCTGAACATTATTTTTATGTTTAGATGCATTTAAACTGATCAAATTTTATTTCAGAGAACAATAAAATTAAACTTTGGTTGATTAAAACGCTGCTAACTTGGAAGTACCCAAGAATCATTTGAGGCACATAATGATTTATGAGTTCAAGAAAGGAAAACACAGCAGCCGAACGGCTAGAAATATTCACTCAGTTTAAAGAGAGGAATGTGTGAATAAAAGAACTTGCAGAAGATGGTTTGCAAAATTCAGAGGTGGAGATTTCACCCTTGAAGATGAAGATCGAACCGGACGTCCAGTTGAGTTTGATGAAAAACTTCTTGAAGCAGCCCTTGAAGAAAATCCTGCTTTATCAGTTGAGGAATTGGCAGTGGTTCTCAGTTCAAGCCATACAACTGTTCATCGTCATCTTCAATAACTTGGAAAAGTTCCTAAACTTGGAAAATGTGTGCCTCATGCATTGTCTGAAAACAACCTCAAATCCCGAGTTGACATCTGCTCTTCTCTCCATTCTCGCCAACTTGTTTCACCTTTTTTGGGTAGACTTGTAACTGGCGACGAAAAATGGATCTTTTATCGAAATGTTAAGCGTCGTAGACAGTGGCTTGGTAAAGGGGAAGGACTCCAGCCACAGCCGAGAAGGGAACTTCATGGGCAAAAGGTTCTTTCATTCTGGTGGGATCGCCAAGGAATAATCCACTCTTAATTCTTACCACCTAATGCAACAATTAATGCTCAAATATACTGTCAGCAATTAGAGCGTTTGAACCAAGCTTCTAGTGAATCGAAAAGAGGTGATGTTTCATCAGCACAATGCGCGACCCCACACAGAAAGAATCACGTCACAAAAGATCGAAGAACTTGGTTGGGAGAAAATTCCTCATCCACCTTATTCTCCCGATCTTGCTCCTTCAGACTACCATTTGTTTCGTATCTTACAGAATCATTTGGAAGAAACAGCTTTTGTAACACAGGAAGAGGTTAAAACTGACATTTATGAGTTCTTCAAATCAACGTCAAAAGAATTTTACAGTAATGGAATTAGTAAGCTTGTTAATAGATGGACGGAAGTCATAGATAACCAGGGAAAATACATTGTTGATTGAATCTTTAATTAAATGTAACATTTGGTCACTTGTTTTCTTTATTCAAAATTCGGACAGAACTTATGGGATGACCTGATATGTTAAACACTTACAAGTCTACCATTCGTCCGTTCATTGAATATTTCTGCTATATCTGGTCTGGAGCTTCTGATATGTATTTTGAGATTGTGGACAATTTCCAAAGAAGAATCGGTCTTAATCTGACATCTCTGTTTTAGTCCATCTCACACTGTAGTAACGTAACATCTGTGTGCCTTATTTATATAATAAATGCGAATGTCAGTGTGGCAATGTGCCAGATTTTTTTCATCTTAAAGGAACACAACACTCTAACTGTCAATGGCTCATTTCAAACGAAAAAATGTTCTCAATTTGCGGTGTTTCAACATAAAATTGTCCGTGTTTTCAACTATATTTCTTGAGCCCGTAGCCCAACATATCACATCATTTTAGAATCAAACCTACTCAGTGAGCAAAGTAAAAACATTCCTGGTAGGACCCGTAACCAACAATCCTAAAATTTTGGATTCCCAAGTTTTCATTACTACGATTGTTTTCGGTGAATTTTTACATGATTTTCTTGCGACGAAATTTTTGTATGAAAAACAATTTTTATAATTTGGAAATAAATTTGTGAATAAGCGAAATTAATTGCGAAATCCAGTGAAAGTCACCCATGAAATAAAAATAATGTTTGTACGGAAAGTAAGGAGCTACATACATCAAATTGTTTTTAAATGGCGGCAGG